CTCACATCTGATCTATGTACGGTCAGCCTCTGTTGTCATTAATGGCACAGATTTATTTCATTCCCATGACCCTCCAAAATACATATTTGGCACTCGTTAATTCCTGGCCACTCTAAAGACTTATTTATATGAGATAAATATTTTAGCCAGAGTGTCTTCGTTGGGGGGAAGGTGAGGGATTACAATATTGGGGAAGATTTTCACTCATAAATGTCTACGCATTTCACATAAACTACATTAGCACATTATAAATTTCATCATTATAAAGAAATATTCATTCACATAAGCTATTCATCCCAATTCCAGCCTCTACCAAAAGTGAGGGGTATTTTTGTTTTTTTGTTTTTATACTGCCTGAACTATGGTCTCCACATGAGTCCCTGGGTGATGCAAAGGGTTAATGCATTTTGCTGCTAACTGAAAGTTCGAGTCCACCTAAAGGCACCTCGGAAAAAAAAGGCCTGGCAATCTACTTTAGAAAAATCAAACACTGAAAATCCGGTGGACCACAGTTCTACTCTGACACACACTGGGTCATCACGAGTAAGAATCGAGTCGACAACAACTGGTTTTTATGATCTCGAGAGCCCCAAAGCCCATGCAGTATTGTGAGTGTCTGATATTGCTCAAAAATTTCCCAACCACTTAATAAATAACTTTCCTCTTATAAATTCTATCACTTTCCTCACCTTCTGGGTGTTTGTTCTTGCAGGCACATGCGTACGTGTACACACACACACACACACACGCGCACACACACCAGAACTAGGCTGATGGACTTGTATTGCTCATGCAGTCTACTGGGGATCAAGTCTAGAGTTTAAACACTCAGCAAACAAACGAATGAATAGTTGCGTGGCTTCTCCAGGAAGACAGCCACAGTCTGTCACTAGATGGAGAGTGTTCAGTCACGGAGGGCTCCTGGGGACATGGAAGACCATATACCTCTCCCCTGGAGACACTGCCCTAGATTCTGAGTCTCGAGCAACTTATCCCCGCTCTCCTCCCACCACCCATCCCAATGTTCTTTGCTCTGCTCTAAAGATAAAGAGCCTCTCTGGATTCAGGTCTACATGACCTTGCATGGGTGGCCAAACTCTGCTGCTCCCTTAGCTCAAGTTTCATTTCAAACTCTGCAAAGGGGCTCGTGGCACAAGAGGATGGGAAACTTCACAAAGAGGTGCTGTGCAGCTGCTCCCAGCTGCTACAGAATGCCTATTTCTCAGGAGAGGAACCAAAAGTTCCGCTCTTCAGTCCGCCCTAGTCGGTCGATGAAAACACCAGGCAGTGATAATGAGAGGTCAGAAAACTTTTCAAATTTTGATGAAGTCAGGGAGAACTACCTCCTAAACTCCAAGCTGAGCAATCCTTACTTTGCCTGTGTGTTACATAGTAAAATAAATTTAGCATTGGTTTTCTCTGCTGAAACTGCCCAGACTTACTAAAGAAAAAATAATTAAAACATAGGAAATAAACATGCTAGTTAAGACACTGGATAATGAATACTTGTTATCATGTACCAAAAGAAGAGACTAAAGCATTACAGAAACCAAGTATTTAATCACACACACACATACATTTATATACGTATCTTTAAATACTTTATAAGTAAGTATCTTTTGTACTGGGACCAAAAAAGAAAAAAGAAAAAGAAAACACCTTCTACTTGGTCCAGATACACACAGGTGGTGGTGGGGGGGCACTTCTTATTAAATTCTAAGTTCACCTGCCCTTGAATCACAGCACAGGCAATGGGTCTTTACTTCCAGCAAAGATCTTACAGTTTTGAAGTTAATGAAACAATTTTCCACTCTCTTTTATGAACGCACCACACATAAAATGAAAATGAGACTACTCATTGCAAAGGACTGCTTTTCCATGACATGCAAGTCACAGACATGTGCTGTATTGATATCATGTCTGCTAAATTAGGTAATGTGCAATATTTTTTAAACTCTGTCAGAGTGGTGTTTCATACCTAGAAAACGTCACTGAAATGTCCTAAATTATTATTAGCAAACTTCCTGGAAAATTAAAATTTGCCATTGTTTCAATTATTTTAGAGACGATTATTAGGATATTTTAAATCAATAAAAATAATTTTCTTTTTCAGTGATTTTAAATAATGGATTCATTGTCTTTGCTTTCACTACAAATTTGTTCAAGTGGCAGAACTGTTTATGACTCTATTCTTCAGATACAATTTATAAAATATTTTATTTTTTTCCCTAGTAAGAGATATTTACTGAAACATTCTAGCAACAGGCATTTCTCCCTCCCAAACTCATTCTCCAAGATATTCTTCCATCTTCCTAACAACCACAGACTGCTCCTTTGTTTGGACAGTAGGGGGCACTGCCACAATGAACTATTATTAAGGCAAAATGAGAGATTTCACTGGGGGAAAAACAAGTCTAGACATTTTAGGATTCTCTCATGTCAATGAGCATCTAAAAATAATATGTAGGTTTTTCTCTACCATAATTTACTTCCGCGTGCAAACAGTGAGATTTTCTTTCTGTTCTTTTGTGTGTGTGTGTGTGTGTGTGTGTGTGTGTGTGTGTGGTCACATGTGTGTGGCAGAAATGCTGTATTGCAAATCTTGGACTTATTCAGGAAGGTCTAACAGAATTCCCTGTTCTAAAATGTTGGCTAACTATAAGCAGCTAAAACGCACTTACTAGTTAAGTGACATTCTGTGGAGCTGAATTTTTTTCTTAAGACTTCAAGCTTTCTTACCAAACACCAAACTCCAAGTTCAAAGCCAAGATGAAAGAGAACTGTGGGCGAAGTTTCATTAAATAATCACATAATAAAGGCTCCACAGTTTTTTTTTTAATAAGAGTTTTCTATATAATTGAGTTAAATTTATGCCTCCAATAAAAAAAAAAAAACATTGCAAATGGTAAAACAAAGATGTCGCTCCAACACTTAGAAAATTAAATTCACCAAACCATGAAGTCTACTGTGCAGTTATTTTTGTAACCACCATAAACTGCTTTATAGAACTCTTCTGCTGGGTAAACAATCCGAGGAGAGATTTACTTTACAGCATGCCTCCAGTTTCCAAAGGAGAGAAGGGCCTAAAAGTTTATGACTCTTTTTCTCATTGTCGTCTTCTTTTTTTTTGGTTAATACTGGTGTTTCTAGTTACCTTGATCCCTTCCTTCTCTTACATGAGCTCAGAAAGGTTCATGGAAAATAAGATCCAGGTCTGTAGATATACTGTGCTCTCAAAATCACTCACTCATTTCTGGAATGAAAAGAAACAATCCTACTTTGTGTAAATAAAGTTTATATGGCAAAACGAAAACAAAGGGGTTTAGTCCTAAATATGTCACCATATTTAATAGCATTTTGGAGCCAACAGTTGTCTTAGATGGTTTCAGCAGTCAGCTTGAAATGTGTTCACTTACAGCACTGTAAGAGACCGAATTCAACGCAAACTGCTATAGATAAGGGTTTTAGAGGTCTTTAATCACTTCTTTCTTGTGTCCTTGATGGAAAAAACAGAGCTGCCTTTGTGCTAAAAAGAAGGACCTGTTGTTTCCAAATTCAACAGGTCATTTTTATAAGAACTTCCCAGAGGATACAACATAAATGACAGAAACACAAGAGGATTTTTTAAGTGGCTGGTGATTTTAAATGATATATATTCTATATTAAGGGGAGTCTGTTTATTTTTCTTTCCAATAAATGGAACGTTACTTTTTAGAAGTGTTTTCTCATGGGTTGGGTTACTGTAAATTCTGCTTCTGAAATCTGTTCTAAGGGTGTGCTTGACCCCTCAAGTAAATAAACTTTGTCAAATCATGTCCATTTCTGTTTTGGAGATGAATAGTTAAACTTAGTGGACTTTTAAAATATATCTAAATTGTATGATAACTTTTGGAATATTGTTTCAGTTAAAATAACCAGGAGAATACATATTTAATGAACAAGATAAATTTTATAAAATGGAAAATTCTAGCAACATGATTTTTCCTTGTACTTACAGGAAAGAAAAAAAAAGCCATTGTTTTACGTAAAACAAAATTCAGATGACACTAGGATTTATTAGAGTTTGGCTGATTCTATTATTAAAGGTGGTCTGAATTTGAGAAGACAAATTTACGATTAAGATCAAAATCATACTTGTTTCCTAACTGGATTAACAGAGTTTTTCACAATCTAGCCAGTGTCCCTATTTTTGTTTCTTCTTTTCTTTTTTTTTTTTTTTTTTGTAAGTTCGCTAATTCATTTGTAAAAGGAAATTGTTTGAAGATCTTTAGAAAAATTTCTGCCAGTCCAAAGACAAAAGTTAGCTTTCCCTATAAATATTAAAAGCACTTTTCAAAACTCATCCCTCTCCCCAAACAAAAGTTATTAGCACGGAACAGTTCTCTACAACAGGGTGACTGGTTGCTAGCACTTGCTGGCTGTCTCATATATTTCCCAGCTACCTAGACTCTGGCCTGACAATTTTCCTAAGTCTCTATATTACTCGCCATCTAGGACAACTATCTGGCAAAGGGTCAAGGGAAATAAATACCTGATGGCAAAGACTGTTAACCACAGGCAATTGCCCAAAAGATAAAGAAGAAATGAAAATGGGGTTTCCTTGGGAAGGGGATCAGCCATGTACACGCGTGTGTATGTACACACACGCACGAAATTGATGAACAGATTTCTAACTTAGGAGGGATTTTTTTTTTCTTTAGCTAACGACTTGGATACTTTCACAGAAACAGGAGAAAAAGACTGATTATTTTGGGGAAAGGGAACCCCAAGAACTAAAGAAATAAACCCTTAAGGCCAAAACTTCCCTCCGCCCCAGCATTCACCTCCCAGGCAGGAGAAGCCGTAGTGGGTTACAAGACGCCTCGACTTTAGAACAACCACCTATTACCTTTGCCTTCTGCATGAGATGGGAAGGAAGGTGAAGTGAGGGTCAACACGGCCCTCCCAAGAGTCCCCCACCGCACGCTTTGCCTCCCCCGCCTAGGCCTGCGCCTGCTCACCGGTACCAGGCGAGGCCCTTGTCGTAGCTGCGGTCAAAGAAGTGGGGCTCGGCGCCCACGGCGCGCACGTCGGGGTGCACGCGCAGGAACTCCAGCAGCGCCCGCGTGCCACCCTTCTTCACGCCGATGATGATGGCCTGCGGCAGCTGCTTGCTGCCTTCGTCCAGAAGCAGGGCTAGGGTCCCCGGCGGGGCCTCGGCCACGCTGCTCCCAGCCCCGGAGCCGCCCGGACCCCCTGCCAGGCTGGGGGGATCCTCTTCCCAGCCCGCCTCCTCGCGGTCGTTGCGCAGCGCGGGCGGCCGGCGCCTTCGCCACTGCTGCAGCTGCAGGAGGCGCTTTCTCCGCGCCGCGGCGGGCCACACCGCCGACTCGCCCCGGCTGCCAGCCAGGACCCAGCGACCCGGGGCCCCTGCCTCCTCGTCGCCACTCGACAGCCCCACCACGGGGCCCGACAGGGTCTGGCAGCGCTCGACCAGGCAGTAGAAGACATAAAGGGACGTGAGCAAGGAGCAGAGCATCAGCAAAAACTTCCGGAAGATGCTGCGGGACAGCGGCTCGGCCGAGGTGGGGTGGGCGCCGGCCGGGCCCGGAGGGGCCATCCTAGCCGGAGGCGACGTCGGGCCGCGAGCGGGCCATGCTAGGCCTCGACTCCGCCAGGTGCCATGACATGCCCCAGGTCGGCCTGCGCGCTGGACGGAGGCCACATCGCCCGTGCGCCCCTGAGGTCATGCGAACTGTCCGGGAGGCGGCGGCTGGGGCTCCTCCTGGGGACAGAGACCCGGGAGCCCCGCGCGGGATCCCTGCCTCCAGTCGAGAGGGCGGGAGGGGACGCGTGGCCGTGCTTAGGAAACCATCGTCTTAGACGAGCCCAAGTCTCGAGAGCCTTGGGGCAGCGCTAGACGCCCCAGTTCCCTGAGCGCCGCCGGGATAGGATCTTGGAGGAGCTGGCGAAGGCGTGTGTCTCAGCCTGGCCCGAGCGGCCTATAGGCGCGGATCTCCGCTCAATGGTCGTGCATCCCTCGCTCGGTCCTGGTGAGGGAATGCAGAGCTCCGGGGCCGCGGAGCTCCGTGCGCTCCAGGCAGCGGCGAGCGACTGTGCTCCAGCCCCGCTTCCTCTAGTCCCCTGGCCGGCCTGGGCGCGCCCTCTCGTCCCGGGCTCGGGTCCTCTTAGCCCGGGTGCGAAGTTCCCTGAGCCCCTCTGCCCAAGCGGGAGACCCAAGGCCCGCGCCTAGCCGGCCGCTCCTCTTCGTGCGCGCCCGACCTGTCCAAGGTGCTCTCAGACTCCACCTGTGAGCCGCGCGGCAGAGCCGGGAGGCGCGGGACCTGTCAGCGGCCGCGGCCACAGTGCTTCTGGCACTCCCCGCCGCTTCTCGGGCCGCCGCCGCCACCGCCACACGTGGGGCGCGGAGGGTAGCAAACTTGGTATGACGTCAGCGGCCCGGGCGCCACCAGCCCCCGGACGCGCGCGGCGGGGTGCGGATCGCGGAGCAGGGGCTGGGCCAGCCAGCGGGCGGGGCGGGACAGGCAAAAGGTGGCGCGGTCCCGCGGCGGCAGCCCAATGGCACTAAAGAGGGCGGGCGCTGCCCGGAGCAACGCCTCTTCCCTGCTTGCCCCCACCCCGGCGGCCTCGCCCCCTTGGAGCCCAGAGCCAGGCTGCTGCGCTCCCGGGGTGTCTCACCGACAGCTCGGGCCGGCCGGGTCCCTAGTGACCTAACTTCCACCCCGCGAGTCCCTGGCTCAAGTAGGAGCTTCCCAACCTCTCCAACTCAGCTCAGCCTTTCGCAGCCCTGACTTCCCTACAGATGTTCTGCGCTCTGCTGCCCTCCATCCTCTGTTTCTCCATCCACCCTCTAACGCCTTGAACCTTCTCCTCTGCTGCTCTGAACCTTTGCAAGTTTTGTTCGCCCACAGCAGCGCGCTGCACGCCACGCCCCCATTTGTCTGGGTCAACGGAATTCCTCCGCTGGGCTTTGACTTCTCACTGCGCCTTCTTACTGCTCCACTGTCCACTGCGGCCGGGAGCGAAGCCCTTCCTCCCCCAGCTGCGTTTCTCCCACTTTTGGTTGTTTTCCTTCGGATTACTTTAAGATGGTCAAGAGTCCCTCAGGACTGAGAGTGGAACAACTTCTTAGGAAATAAGCTAATAAATCAATGGGAGAAACTGAGATTTAAAAAAAAAAAAAAAAATTCAATTCCGATTCCAAGTCCATAAGCCCAGTTTTTGAGGAAGTTTTTCAAAATGTTGTTTGTACTAGTATGCGTGTGTGCGTGTCTCAGTCAGAGGGTTAAATGTCCTTTCATAAACAGCAGTTTCCTCTTTCTCTTGCCTCCTCTGACCCCACATCCTCTCCATGCTCCACGGACGCACTCAGGAAGGGATACAAACGGCCACGCTGCTTATCAATGGACGGAGGTGGTGCAACTGGCGTGAGGTGTTTTTTGTTCCAGTAGGATTTGTTCTCCATTTCTTGTCTCTGCAGGACGCTTCACGTGCTGGCCATTATACACCAACCACTGTATATTGTCCAGACAGCTTTCTGGGCCCTTATGGGTGCGAACAAGGGCCTGCTGTGAGCTCGGTGTCCATTTTGCAGGAAACTCACAAGGAATTCCTGCCGTCCCGTGTTGGCGCTTCGCAACCTTCCACTCTCCTAACTTCCTGTGCTCTGCTATTTGACCATGGAAGCTAGCAGCCCTTTTAAGCTTCCAAAGGGACTCAGTGGTTCCCCATCTGTGCTGGGTGGAACTGGTGTGTTCGTTCCCTGCTGAGTCCCTAGGTGGTGCAAACAGTTGAGCACTTGAGGACTAATGCTGAACTACTAACAAAAAGGTTGGCTGTTCCAATCCACCCAGAAGTTCCTAGGAAGAAAGGCCTGGCGATCTGTTTCCAAAAGGTCACGTCCATGAAAACCCGAGAGTGCAGCTCTACTGTGCAACACATGGGGTCGCCATGAGTGGGAATTGACTGGAAGGCAGCTGGTTTGAATAAATCCTTCCTGCCAGATGTGGTTTTACGTTTATTAAGTACCAATGCGACCCATTCTGCAAACCAGTGAAGAGCTTATTAGATTCTGATGTCATAAAGCACTGGGCTTTCAAAACACAACAGGCGAATGCTGCCAAGCTTTAATGTTTCTCTGTGTCCTAAAATTGGATATCGACAAACCAGTTGAGGTTCAATGCTAACTTGAGCTTTCCTATCTTTCTTAAAACTTTTCTTGAGGTATTTTGGTCTGATTTGCAGAAGGAAGACAAAAAGAAAAAAAGAAAAGACCATTTTAAAATTGTTCTGATCGCGTGCAATCCCCTGGATCCTTACACACATGCCTCAATTTCCTCATGTGGGAAAGGCTGGTCTCCAAGTTTCCTTCCAGATCCAACAAGATAGCTGGTGTGCTTTTGTGCTTTTGTGCTTTTGTGTTCTGGGTCACATTCTCTTTCGTTGTTTCCTGCTGTTGAGTTGGCCCCTGACTCATGGCAACCCTGTGCACAGCAGAACAAAAGACTGCCTGGTTCTGCTTGTGGATCGAACTATTGTGGTCCAAAGGGTTTTTAACAGCTGATTTTCAGAAGTTGATTGCCAGGACTTTCTTTCTAGTTCCTCTTAGTCTGGAAGCTCTGCTGAAACCTCTTCGGCATCACAGCAACACACAAGCCTTCACTGACAGACAGGTAGTGACTGAGCATGAAGTACATTGGCCAGGAATCAAACCTGGGTTTCCCGCACGGGAGGCGAGAATTCTACCACTGCCTCCTGGGGTATTTTTAGGTGGATATGAAAGACCACACTATGTGTGAGACACAGTTCTCAGGATCATTCACACAATATCTAAGGCAGCACTGTACCATAGAAATGAAATGTGAGCCACATATGTAATTTTAAAGTTTCCAGTAGCACCTTTAAAAAACTAGAAAGAAACAGGTGAAAATAATTTTAATAATATGTCCAATATAGTGAAACCTATGAGAGCTGGAATGTGACGGGACTGCCTTGTTTTTCCAGGCCTTGCAAGTTTTGTTCCTCTGACAGGGTGAAGTCTTACCACTTTTTTATCTGAGTTTTCCTTCTCTGACAGGTTTCCGCCATACAGGGGTTCCAGCTTTTGCAGGTTTTACTGTATATCCCAAAATATAATTCATCTGTAATCAAAATAAAATTATTGAGGTAGGTTACATTTTTTTTCATACCCAGACTCCAAAATCCATTGTGTACTTTACACTGACAGCACATCTGTATGGTGACCAGCTACAGTTCAGACATTCAGTACTACGTGTGGTTAGTGGCTACTGTAATGTACAGCATCGACTGGGGTATTGGTTTTGATGGGAGACGTATAACTGTCAGGGTCTCAACGGGAAACAAATAACACTGAAATTTGAATACTTCACCAGTTACCCTTGAGAGGGCCCTGACTCATGTTACCCCAACTCATGGCGACCTCATGTATGTCAGAGTAGACCTGTACTCCAGAGGGTTTTCAATGGTTGATTTTTCAGAAGTAGATCACTAGGGCTTTCTTCCAAGATGCCTTTGGGTGGACTTGAATGCCCAACCTTTCGGTTAGCAGCTAAGCACATTAAATCTTTGTACCACCCAGGAACAATAATAACTGTGACTGAATCTTCATTTGTATTTATTTCACCTTAAGAAAGTGTTCCTCAGGCACTTCGCCAAAGAAGACATTCGGGCAGCTAACAGACATATGAAGAAATGCACAGGATCATTAGCCATTAGACAAATGCAGATCAAAACTACAATAAGATACCATCTCACCCCAACAAGGCTAGCATTAATCAAACAAACACAAAATAATGAATGTTGGAGAGGTTGTGGAGAGACTAGAACACTTATACACTTGGTGGGAATGTAAAATGGTACAACCACTTTGGAAATCAATCTGGCTCTTCCTGAAACAGCTAGAAATGGAAGTACCATACCGTCCAGCAATCCCACTCCTTGGAATATATCCTAGAGAAATAAGAGCCGTGACACAAATAGATATCTGCACACCCATGTTCATTGCAGCACTATTCATGATAGCAAAAAGATGGAAACAACCTAGATGCCTATCAATGGAAGAATGGATAAATTCTGGTATATCCACACAATGGAATAATACACAACAATAAGCAACAACAATGAGTTGGTGAAACATCTTATTAACATGGAGAAATCTGGAGGGCATTGTGCTGAGTGAATTTAGTCAGTCAGAGAAGGGCAAGTATTGTATAAGACCACTATTATAAGAACTCAAGAAAAGGTTTAAACACAGAAGAAAACATTCTTTGATGGTTACAAGGGTGGGGAGGGAAGGTAAGGGTTATTCACTAACCAGATAGTAGATGAGATAGTACAAGAGATTAAATGGGCAGCTTCTGTCTGGAGGTGAGATGGGAAGGCAGAGAGGGTTAGGATCTGGTTGAAGGGACATGGGGAATCAGGGGTGGAAAGGAGGAGTGTGCTGTCACAATATGGGGAGAGCAATTAGGGTCACATAACAATGTATATATAAATTTTTGTATGGGAAAAAATTTTTTTTTTAATTTAGAAATGTGTTAAACCCTTCATAGGATAAATGAAAAAGATAGCTGAAAATGT